GAAGCATAAATTACTTTACTTGAGGGTGGGGGTGAGGATCTGTTTACTCAAATGGTACAGTCCAAAAGCTCAATTATTTGCAAATAGTCTACAAAAATCATCAGCTTCCTCTTCCCCCCTCACCAATAAAATTTGTTTAACCCATGACGTTAATTATATTTACTGTTTCTTCATTCTCCAAACTGTCTTCACTTTGTACCTCCAGAGACTACAGTCAAAGTTCTCCTTTATTCAGCAGAAAAGTTTCTGTGAAGACAAACAAAACAAAAAAATTGAAAACAGAAAGGGGAAAAAAAATTCACTCTCTGGTTTCTATTAGTTCTGAAGTAATGAATGAATGAGTAAATGGTTTATTTTTTAGCTGATTTATTTTGTAGCAAATACTTATTTCCCTGATTATGTTAATAAAATGGGTTTTTTTAAATTAGTAAATTCAATTCAGATTTCACCTTTTGTAGGAGGCCTTTTCCATTCTCCTCTTTCTTTTCTATTTCCGATTTTTTTGTTTACTTTTTCTTTTTTCTTTCTTTTCTTTATTTCTTTTTTTTTTTTGGTTAAATTTTCAGTTAAAGTTGGAGAAACTCTGAAGACTAATAAGAAGAAAAAACAGTTCCTGCTTCAAGGAGCTTATGGACTAATAGGAGGGATGAGACATTGACATAAATAAGTAGATGTAAAATAGAAAGTAGTAATAACAAAATGAATCTGAACAAAGTGCTGGAAGAAATGCAGGGTGGGAAAGATCACTTTTAAGTGGGGAGGATGAGGAGAAGACTTCTTGAGGGAGATGATCTGTGCCTCAAAGGAAGAGAAGAATTACAATAAAAAGAAATAACGTATGGAGGCAGGGAGAGGCTAGGACAAGTTTGTCTAATAACTGGTGCCTTGAAACAAAAAGTACATGAAGGAATACAGTGAAATATAACTAGAAAGGAAGACTGGAACAAAACTATGGAGGTCTTCAAATGTGGGGCTAAAGGGGTTTGTACCTATATATGACTAGTAACCATTTAATATCTTTATATAAGAGACTAACATGGTCAGATCTGTGCATAGGAAAATTATTTTGGTAGCTTTATGAAGGATGGATTAGAGAGGGGGAGAAACTGTAGGGAGGAAAATCATTTAATCAATGAGCATTTAGCAAGTATCTGTATTCCAGACACTGTGCTAGGCACTGGGGATACAAAGATTCCTCTGTGTGTGTGTGTGTGTGTGTGTACTTTTATGTATTTATATATAAAAACAATTTTTTAAATCAAGTCTTTCCCCACCCCAGTCTGTTTTCCAAACAGATGCCAAAGTGACTTTTCTAAAGCACAGGTCTGAACCATGTCATTCTCCCATTCCATAGGCTCCAACCTCATTATACATCATACATTATACATTATACATTATACATCACTCCCCTTCTTCAGTCCAGTCAGACTGGACTTCTTACTATTCCTTAGGCGTACCATCTCCATTTCCCCTTTCTCTTCTATTTAATGTCCCTCCAGAGAGCACAGTCTTAGTTCCCTTATATTTGACAGAAAATTTTCTTTGAAGACAGAACAAAAAAATTGGAAACAAAAAGGAAAAAAATTAACTGCTTGGTTTCTGTCAAATGCACATATATACACGTGCATGTATGTATGTGTATATATAGTCTATAAATACACAGACACTGATATACATCTGTGCATCTATATGTGTCACTGCATATATATGCCTATATGTAGATATATATGCACATGTGTGTATGAGAGAAACAAGTTGGTGAATTTTTTTATATTTGTACATATGTGTCTGTCCTATGTGTTTGTATATGGATAAAGTGTAAAATGTTTGTGTCTTAGTAACGACCATTCCCCGATTTGTATTTGTACATATATATCTATGTGTTTGTATATGGAGGGAGAGAGAGGAGAGAGGTATATGTAACAGAATGAGTGTATATATGGCATCTGTATAGAAGATAGAGACAGGGAAAAACTTGATTCTGAAAAATATATATTTTTTTTAATGTATAGCCTTTGGTTTATATCACATTCATTTCCTTCCCTGTCCCTTATCCTAAATCTCAATGAGCCCTCCCTTTTAACAAAGATTTAAGAAGAAAAAGGGAAGGGAAAATTCAACAAAACCAATAAACACATCATCTGAATCTGACTGTGTAAACAATATTTCACACACATCATCCTCCATGTCTTCAGTGAAAGGACAGAGGTGCATTTTCTCAACACTTTTCTTAGGCCAGTTACAATGTTGTTTCATTTTATTGTCCTTTCCATTGATATTGATATAGTCAGTTGATAGATACATGTATGTACATATATTTGTGTATTTTTTCTTGATTCTGTTTATTTCACTCTCCATCAGTTCATATTCAGTCTTCCCATATTTCTCTGAATTCTTCTTATTCATAATTTTTTATGGCATAGTAATATTCTATTTTGGACAGGTAAGTGGTATAGTGGGTAGAATGCTAGGCCTGGAGTCAGGAAGACTCTTTCTCCTGAGTTCAAATCCAGTCTCAGACACTTAATGTGTGACCCTGGACAAGCCACTTAACCCTGTTTGCCTCAGTTCTTCATCTGTAAAATGAACTGGAGAAAGAAATGGCAAACCATTCCAGTAGCTTTGACAAGAAAACCCCAAATGGGGCCATGAAGAGTCTGACACAACTGAAAAACAACTAAACAACAACAAAAAATATATATTCCATTATATTAATGTTATTTGTTTAGCCATTTCCCAATTAATGAGCATCTACTTTGTTTCTAGGTATTTACTACCACAGAAAGTAATTGCAGTGAATGTTAAATATTTTGGTGTATATCCTGAATTCTCTTACTTAAGTACCACACTGAATGGAAGTCATTGCTCTTGTTTAGCTTTATTAAGTGTTCATGGTATAATTGGTTCATCTGATCAGAAGTAACATTAGCCACTTCATTATAAAAGGAGTCTGCTTGGTGATGTGGTAACATATTTACCCTATTTAAACTTATGCAATTCCCTAATCTGTATTATTAGTCATTTTTATGAATTTCCTTAAAATGAAGAGATATCAACTTCCTGACTTAAAGGATAGAGTGGGTGTTGTGGAAGGCCTATGCAAAGAATACAGTTCCAATTCTCTTGTCTCCCTTGGTATACAGATAATCTGATTGTTCAATAGTTAGAATGAAACTTGGCACCAAAGGAACGATGTGGTCTGGATCTAGGGTTCCCTGTGGGATTCCAGACCAGTCCAAGAAATTTGGAAAGACAGTTTAGTTGTTAAATTCAATCTGATGTTTTCTGTAGAAGTTATTGAAGTCATTGCACTCTATCCCAAGGTCTTTCCCAACTAAAAAGGCCATGGAATGGACACAGTCTGGATCCAGTAGCACATTCCTATAATCTTCAGCAGCTACGTTGAGATCATAGCGCAGCATCATAGAATCTTGAAAGGGTAGATTTACTTTGGCCATCACCATGGACCAGAAATTGTTCTTATTTTCACGGTTAGCTCACCATGGCAATCATTTACCTCAGCTTCTCCAGCAGGTTTAAACCAGAATTTTTTTCTCTGCATGAAGTATCTAAGAAAATAAAACAATGAAATCATCCTTCTTTGCTACTTTCTCAATGCTAAAGTTATTGATGTTAATGGCAATATAGTCTAAAAGTAATCTTTCAGGGACAGCGTAGCATAGTGACCTTAGGTAATTAAAATACTGAGTAAATGCATGCTTGGTTAATGTTAATAGTAAGTGGGCCTGTGAAAAAATCTACCTATAAAATGTTGAATCTAATCGAATACTAAATGACTGTAAGTCTTTGGAGAAAGTCAGTCTTTCTAGGCATCAGTTTTCCTCATCTGTAAAATGATGGGGTTGAATTAAATGATTTCAGATGTCCTGTCCAACTCAATGATCACTTATTCTATGATTCTCTTTTGATGCTTCTGTGGGTGTATGATTTCATCTATGGTAGTATTCCCTCTAGGGGCAGCTAAATGGTCCAATGGATAGAGTGCTGGTCCTAGAGTCAGGAAGACCTGAGTTCAAATTCTGTTTCAGATACTTACTAGCTGTGTGACCCTATGCAAGTCACTTAACCTATTTGCCACAATTTCCTCTTCTGTAAAATGGAGATTAGCACTGACTTTACAGAGCTGTTGTAAGGATCAAATGAGATAGTATTTATAAAGTGCTTAGTATAGTGCCTGACACATAGTCAGTGTGCTGAGCATATTCCACATACTCAGTAATCCAGTGACACTGGCCTCCTTGCTTTTCTTCACCAACTCCCAGTGTTTTCTCTGGTTCTCCCCTATACCTGGAATTCTCCTCCTACATCCCCTTCATCTCCTCCTTCAGGCTTCCCTGGCTTCCTCCAAGCCCTTTGCAAGAAGCCTGTCCCAGTCTTCCTTAATCTTAGTGTCTTGTCTCAAAGGCCATCCCTGATCTACTGTATAGCTTATTTGTACAGATTTACATGTATGTTTTCTCCACCTTTAGTCTGTGAGCTCCTTGAGATCTGGGCTTTTTGCCTTTCTTTGTATCCTTCTATGTGCTTGGCACAGGGAAGATACTTAATAAATATTCCTTGACTTGACTTGCTACCAAGATTAGAAATATCCTCAGGATTGCCTATCTCTGCTCAGGTAAAGACATAAAGAAATAGCAGAAGCAACAAAGCCAGTAACTGGCTCCTCTGGGCCATTACATTTACTGTATTTGCCTTTTGCAAGTAATAATCACTCTTCCTCAGTGAAGTTGCCAACTTGCATTGCTAGAGAGAATTTCTTCATCTGAATTCTCTATCTCAATGAAGTCACAGATCTAGTCCCTCTCCATCTCCCATATTCATCAATCTCTCATTTCAGTCATCCAACCATCAGGCCACTAGACACCCATTATGCTACCCATTATGCTTTCTTCTGAAGCTGTTAGATCAGATAGTTTACCTCATTGGTAGGACCCTGTATAAGGCTTCCATGTATAAGGTTTTGTCATTTGTCATTTCAGAGAATGATGAGGAACGAGGTACTCTGCACTCTCTAGACAAGCCTGGCTGGTATTCCCAAGGAAATTCTGACCATCTGTACAAACTTTTCAAGAAGATGACTGGCAAGGAACAGCCCAAGGTATGCTGTGATGGAATTTGAGTCCCTGATAGCTAGTTGTAGATGTTAACAAATAAATATAAACCAGACCCATAATTCCATAGTCAGTAACTTTTCAGTGTCCACTAATGGGTCATCTCAGGACTGTTATTTGTCCTATTGTAAAAGATCTGCGATGTCACTGCTAAGTACTACTGTGCCCCTTCATACCTTGGAAGATAATCTTCATATGTTCCTATATCTAAAAATGTCATCTCCTGGTGGCCTCCTTTCTGGTGATGAACTTCTCTGCCCTTAGCTAGGCTGGTCCTCAGGTAACAGAACCACAATCAACAATCAGTCAAGAAACATTAAACACTATATGACAGACACTGTACTTGCCCTTTGAGATATAAAGAAGAAAAAAAGAAAGAAAGAAAAGAAAGCTCCACCTAAAATCTATCACACGGTCATGGTCATTTCCTTGGCCTGCACATGAAGCTTTCTCAAATTGGCTTGGTCTGCCAAAGTTTGTATGTCAATAGTAGAGCCCTGAAGAACCAATCAAGTTCATGAAATCCCACGCATGAGGATATAAGAAAATAACAGAATTTTTGTTTACTGTACCTAGAAATAGGTCAACAAGGAATTTTAAATCAAAACATTTTATTACTTAATTGACTCAGGAAGGGCTAAACCCACCATCTTATCAGGCTAAGCCTAGACCATTTTCATTTGGTGTATTGTCTCAACTTTAGTAGGGAGCAATGAAATGTTCTAAGCAAGGAGGAGGAAGCCAAGTCTAGTGGGCACTGGCAGGAAAAGTATGAGTGTGAGACAGCAACATAATGGCAACATGGTTCTGTGCAAAGAAAATTGGAGTCCAAGTTTGTGACCTTGAACTTACTAGTTAAAACTTGTATAACCCTGGGCAAATTAATTACATTTTTCTGGTCCTCAGTTTCCTCCTCTGTGAAATGAGAGGATTGGATTAAGTGATGTTTAAGATGTCTTCCATCTTTAAGTCTTATCAGCTCGTTGATAACTATAAGAGTAAAGGAGCACGATACACAGTAGTAAATGATTATAATAACCTTGTGTTTGGTAAATGTAAAGATTTAAGTTTTTAGGATAAGAATTTACTTTTTGGTAAGAATTATTAGGAAAACTGAAAAGCATTCTGGCAGAAACTGGATACAGACTAATATCTTATACCATTTACCAAGATAAGGACAAAATGGATACATGATCTAGACATAAAGAGATATATCATAAGTAAATTAGAAGAATGTGGAACGTATTACCTATCAGATTTATGGATAGGAGAATTTATGAATAAATAAGAGATACAGAGCATCATGAGACATTAAAATGAATAATTTTGATTACAAAATAGAACCAATATAGCCACGGTAAGAAGGAAAGCAGAAAATTGGAGAAAAAAATTTTAGACACTTTCTCAGATAAAGCTGTCATATCTCAAATGTACAGAGAACTTTGTCAAATTTATAAAAAATACAAGTCCTCAATTGATAAATGGTCAAAGGATATGAACAAGCACTTTTTGCAGCAAGAAATCAAAGCTACACATAGTCACATAAAAAATGCTCTAAATCATTTTTGATTAGAAAAATTTAATTAAAACAACTTTGAGGTGTTCTCTCACACCTATCAGATTGGCTAAAATGATAGAAGGGGAAAATGACAAATGTTGGAGGGAATATGGAAAAATTGGGACACTAATACATTGTTAGTGGAATTGTGAACTGATTCAACCATTTTGGAAAGCAATCTGGTATTATGCCCAAAGAGTTATAAACCTGTGTATACCCATTGACCCAGCAATGCCACTGTTAGGTCTGTTTCCCAAGGGGATCAAGAAAAAAGGAAAAGAACCTATGTGTTCTAAAATAGTCATAGTAATTCTCTTTGTGGTGGCAACGAACTAGAAATTGAAAGGATGCTCATCTATTGGGGAGTGACTGAATAAGTTGTGGCATATGATTGTGATGTAATACCACTGTACTGTAAGAAATGATAAGCAGACTGATTTTAAGAAAACATGGAAAGACTTGCATGAAATGCTGAGTGAAACAAGCAGAACCAAAAGAACGTTATATACAGTAACAGCAATACTGTTCGAAGAGTAAATGTGAATGACTAAGCTATTCTGAGTTATATGAGTATTCAAATCAACTACAAAAGACCATTGAAGGAAAATACCATCCACCTCCAGAGAAACGACTGATATATGAAACTATGTATTGTATAGTTTCCCATGTTCATCAGTATCAAATGTTGACCTCTGGTGCAAGGTTAGGAGGAGGAAAACAGCTTGGAACTCAAATGTAAATACATATATTAACATACATATATATTTAAATAATAAAGGAGCAATCAGTACATTTTCCTAATCACAGTGAAAAATGTAGTGTCTTCTTGTTAGAAAAAAGAAAAGAAGTAATGATTTCCTTTCTAAATGTATCACCCAAGTCAATGAAAATGTTACCAAGCACATAGGAAAACTTCTTGCAGTGTATAAAAGAGACACTAGTTGTGACAAGATTTCCTTAGCAAGTTCTTTAACTTAGCACTCTTTTGATGAGTATGAAGTTTTAAAACTTGCTTGGCTCTGTGAAATTTTAAAAAGGATGTTTTTTTTCCCCAAGGCTGGAACAATAAATGTGCTGCCCGGTTTAATTTCTTTTTTTAAAAAATGGCTTTTTTTCAGACTGCACAGTTGGTGTTTCTTAGTAAAGGAATTTTTATTACCATCTTCTCTTCCTCCTCAGAGTGCCATGTTACATACAGAGCCTTCCAGTTAGCAGGTTCCTAATAAGTATCTATAGATTTGATAACAGTTACTACTGCCCAAAGTGGAGTGTGTGGCCTCAAGAGGTACTGAGTTCACCATTTCTGCAGATCTTCAAGTAGTGGTTGATCACTTATTCAGGATGTTGTGTAGGGAATTCCTTTTTCAGGAATCCAGGTTGAACTCAGTAACCTCAGAAGTCCCTTAGGTCTCTGAGATTCTATGATTTAAATCACATACAGAGGCCTTACTGTTTATATTCCCTTTGATATTGCAATTCTATTGGAAAGGCAAAGCAACAAAAGCGCCCAGGGCCACAGAGGTGGGAGGGTTGATGGATCAGTTGCCAAGTCAAAATATTTGTAGAACTTCTACATATTACATTTCATGGCATTTTTGGAGGAATTTTCCTTTGATTCTGTGGAAGCATTCTCTCTCTCTCTCTCTCTCTCTCTCTCTCTCTCTCTCTCTCTCTCTCTCTCT